ACTGTTTGAGAACTTATTTTTTGGTAAACGATATATTATTTGTTATTTGGTAAAAAAAATATTTAAAATAATTCAATGAAAAAGACATAACTTTGAGATAGTTTTGTTTTTAAAAAAAGTATAAGAAGATGTAACAAGAAGAGATATCTAATTTATAATTAGTTTAACTTTTTAAGTGATGTGAGATAATTGGATATATTAGAGCATAAATTTCTTAGTGGAGGTCTTTGATAAATGATAATTTAATTTTAATAGAGAGCTTTAGAGAATTAATGGTTCATCTTTAGAACCTCGTCTTTTTGTCCTTCGGTGGATGTCAATATTACAATTAAGTTTTCTATTGGTGTTGCATTGGTTTTTCTTTCATCTATTTCTTAATTTTTCATCTATCTGTATTTCTTAATTTTTCATCATAGGTATTTTTGTCTATATATGTGATGTATTTTTATGGTGAGTTTGGTGTGATTTTTACTAAGTTTTTCTATTTGTTTTCTTTATAAAATCTTCATGTTATGTCAATGATGTCTAACATGAGCTTATAGGGACATTCACTTAAAAAAGGACACTGAAATTCCACAAATTGTGAAATTTCAAACATTGGTCAGGATGAGAAAACTATACAAGTTCAAAAAGTCAACTTATATCGACATTCATTATTATCTTAACATTTAGTCCAAGCCGAATCGGCTTGATTATGAGTCCAAACTAGTTTGACTTGACCATCGGTCAAATCCAAAAGTCAAAGTCGATTAGGCATTGACCAATGGTCAAGTAAAATAGATTCGAGGCGAAAGTTACTCGAGTCATTTAGGTTGAAGGTTGAGTCATATTGATCTGTCATTGATTTGACATAAGCTGAAAGTCTAGTCAATTCTGCATAAACTGAAGGTCAAACTGATTTAACATAAATCGAAAGTTGAGCCGAGTCTGTCCAGGCAAAGTCAAGCCGAGCTAACCAAGGCCAAAGGTAGTGCTGAGCCGATCAAGGCCGAAGGTGGAGTCGAGTTTGTTAGAATATAGACAAAAAGTCTTATATCGAATAAAAACAAGATATGGACATGAGTTTATATAAATAATTATTTTCCTTTACCTTACATTGAAGCTATTGAACTCTCTAAACGTCAAAACATTTGCTTAGAGCTCAAGGAATCATATAAACACCTATAGAACACAAAAATTTGATCAAAGAAAATCCTTAAAACCTCTAATTAAGAAAGAACTAAGAAAAGTAAGTAGATAACACATGCGATAAGATAGTTCCTATGCATGATCTCAACTAAGCATTTCCTGATAATCAAATAGATGATCAATGAATTAAATTGTTTTAGAAAGAAGGGGAAGAGAATCTGAAGAAAAAGTTTTAAAGATTTGTGTTTTAAATAATGACACGAGTTTAAAATTTTTTATTTATATTATTAAATTATTTTAAAATTAAAATACTTGGTTTCATTATTTTAAAACATCTATTAATTCTAATACTTAAATTTATAGTTTCTTACAATAATATAATAAATACATAAAATAAATATATTTTTGTTGGATTGACAGTTACATGCTCAACAGAAACATTTTCTTTGGGCTATTGGATATGTTTTCATTATATATAAAACATAAACGAAACTAATTTTTATTATGAATCTTGACAAAGTAAAATAATTAAAGATGAAATAAAAATGATGGTTTCCTTAACTTTAAATAAAATTTAAAAATAAGAGGTGTAAAAGAAAAATAAATTAAATCTCCTATTCTTTTGATAATATTACGGGTTTATTTCATAGTTCATACTTTAATATCATTCTATAAATTGTAAATACAAGATTGACAAGAAGTCCAGTCAATAAAACAAATAAAGGAAAAAAAAATGAACAAATCATAATACATATATGTGTACTTTTAATTATGTTTTAAATATTTTCATATAAAAGAGTATATGTATATATGACGAGGGAATTCACCCATCCCTTAAGTCTTGTTCACAATGGGAAGCAAACATGGAAAAGATAACACTTTATCCCCTGTCTTTTGTCCTTTATACCATAAACCTGCAAAAGTTGTTATGAATTTAGCATCATAATAACTAACAAACGTAAGAAAGAGACACAGCATATACCTTTTTTATAAGTAGAGAACATAAACCTGTGAGGCTTGGTTGGTGTCATTTGTTTTTTTCAATTAATTGTTAGCTTTTATTAATAAAGGAATTAAATTTATAAATTTTTTCACAATTTTTTCAAGTTTTTTTAAATTAACTATATTTCTCAAATGTTAATAATGGAAGTTAAATTAACATTTTTTTAATTTTTTATTTTAATTTTTATCATCATATCAATCTTATACTTTCGAACTAATTTGAAACGAGCAAAGCAACTCCAATGAATAGTTTTTAATCTTTGGTTTCTTTTTCTTTTGTTTTTCCTTCTAATGAAACATGGCTGATTGCTTTAAGCACAAAAATATTTTAGTATTATGTAACAGCTCACGTACAACTCATAATTGGTGAATGTTGTATGATTTTGATGTTTATAATTCGGAAAATGAGGATTCTATAGATATAAATAGTATAATAATATGATCTAAATGATCTATATAACCAATAGGAATAAGGTCTTCCTTGCTTAAAGCATCAAAATCACCTTGGTGGCATGCATAAGATCCCTTTCCAATTTTCAAATTTTCTTGAATACAGGTAAAAGACATGTGTAGAAATTATTGGCACTTGAATGGCGTGCACAAAAAAATTAGTATCCACTATCCATCCAGCACTGCACGTGCAATTATTTTCCTTACTCACAATTAGGTCAGTATGACATGTAAATTTTTAAATTTATCACTATCATTATCAAATTAGTATTTTCTTTACATAATCTATTATAATTTGTGTATAGCATAAATCAAATTTAAGGATAGGGTGATAGTTGAACTTTCTTTGTATGTTTAGAATGACCATGTTTAGTACTTTAGTATCACTTTGTAATGCTTAGAAAATTTCTCTATCAATAATGTGTTGGTACAAAATATTGAAACACATATTAGATCCATTTTTCTAGAACCACTAATCTAATATCTAAAAAAACATTTTCAAAACATTGTCAATAATTATCAATATTTGTTTTCAAATATTCATCCACGTCTTCGATTTTAGATTCCAAAAACATATCAAATTCGTCAAAATCAAGAAGAAGTGTATAAAATAAAATAATAATGACGTGATTGAAAAGAAAAAGACTTTACAAACCTAACAAGAGAAAAACACAATTATTTTATCATTTTTAATATTTATATTCTTTCTTAATAATTTTTAAGATATATTATTTAATGTTGACAACATTATTATTGTTATTGTTATTAACGTAAACACTTTTTTTATTGTTATTATTAGGTTTAATTGCTTCCTTTGTCCCCAGTTTGGTTGAATTGTGTCAAATTCATCCTCATTTTTAAAAAAGTTTCATTGTCGTCCTCACGTGGTATAAAAGTGTCAATTGAATCCAAACATAGAAAAAATTTGTGTCAAAGTAGTCATTTTTCCTATATCTCTGTGTCTTCCTTTCATATGTCACTTCTCTGGAGCTATGAAAAGCCTTAAATTGGATAAGGTAAAATGAATATCTGTACTTGATTGTATGAAAGGAAGACACAGATATATAGGAAAAATGACTACTTTGACACAAATTTTTTCTATGTTTGGATTCAATTGACACTTTTACACCACGTGAGGACGACAATGAAACTTTTACACCACGTGAGGATGACAATGAAACTTTTTTAAAAATGAGGATGAATTTGACACAATTCAACCAAACTGGGGACAAAGGAAGCAATTAAACCTTATTATTATTAGCGTAAACACATTGTCATGTCAATATCTTCCCTTTTTTTAATATTTATATTATATTATAAGTCAATAATATATATAAATTGATTAAGTTAATATATAAGAAACCATGAAAATGATAAAAAATAATTAAATATTAATGATAGAGACTATAAATATAATAAATACAAATATAACAAAGAAACAAGAGAGAATAAAAAAATTATTTTATACAAAATATTTTAAAATAGTAATTGATTATAAAAAATCAGTTAACAATTATATATTTTTTTAAAACCAGCTTAAAGTTAATGATTATATTATAAAGAATATAGTAGAAATAAAAATTGTATATACAAAAGGAGATATCGTATTATTTATATATGTAGGTATATATTATTATTATATATTTTTGTTAAGGGTTGTGCCCGAAGATACCTAAATTATAAAAAAATTTCACAAGTTCTCACTATATCAACTTGCAGCCATAGAAAAAATACAAGCAGTTCTTCAACACAGTAATTTTGAAATAGATATTTCCTGTTTTATTTTTCATCTTTCAATTTTTATTTTTTATTTACAACCATCATTTAAAAATTAGGAGATTGTATAACCGATCTCTCAACTTAAATAACGGTTTGAATTGTTTAGATAAATAATAAGAGGAATGTGCGACTGGGAAACTTTAGATTTTTTGTTATTAAAAAAGTAAGAAGGGTAAATAGCTTTCTGTGAGTTGGCAATGCTGCTTTCATGATAATTGGTAGATGTCCATGCTCAAAATACAGAGCCAGAGCCAACTCCTCGATGATCCAAAACAGTAAGAATTCAGAGATTAGATAGAAAAGCAGAATATTAACATAACCTTAAAATTTGTACCAAATAGCCTAATAGATTCATGAGCATTGTTAACTTTAATGGTAGCAAGTTGTGCATGATACAAAATTGCCATGAATCACATTCAAAGTTTCCCCATCTGAGTTAGAACTGCCTTGTCCTTTTTACTCCCCAATCACGAGTTAGTTTCACCCAGAATTGTCATGAAAAGAATTCAAGAATATGTCTTGCTACTTTAACTGAACCACAATTGCAGTGTGGAGCTAGAATTTTAGAACATAAAAAATTTGAAAAAACTGCTAGCTGATCATTAAAGCAGAAGTAAAGCAGAAGAGACAAAAACAATCAATTCCACACAAACGATTCTTTTATGTTTTGTAGAAGAGAAAAAGTGATGTAGCTGACCATTAATCTAAGCAAGTTATCATCAATTCGAGACAGGAGTATGCTGAAGATTAAAAGCCAATGACAATTAGGGACACAATGAACAAGGAATTTGAAGGACCATAGACGAGTAAGAAAGATAAAAGCATGAAAAAAAAAACATCAGAAGGTGCTTCAATTCATTATCAAAGTAAAACGAAGTTCAAGATCATGCATCATCATCATCATATCATTTCCCCTCACCCAAAAAATTCCAAAGATACACAAACACTTGACAGCCACATAGCCCCTACTTCAGTCTCGTTCCTTCATGGGTTTAACTTTCAACAATTGCTGTGACTCCCTGTCCCTATGCCCTATTGTTAACATAACAGTTCCCCATCAAAGAAAATGTGAGAATCAATCACTAGACTCCATGATTGCATTGAATCCTTGAGGACTCTCAACCAATATCATTATGTACACTTTGACAATGATAAAGGGGATTCCAGAGAAAAAAAGTTGAGAGCTTTTATATACTCTAACTTACCTTCTTCTCCTCCTTTACTACTACCATGCTCTCATCCCACTGTTTACATCCATAGACCAAGTCCTACGCGATCGCGGAGAAGGATCCATACTAGAACGAGATGAACTCGCTCTCATAGACTCTCTACTAGAAGCAGAACGCTGTGTAGTACTAGAACCACTACTTCCAACCCCACCTCTGAAGCAACCAAACAAATTGCGGAAAAACCTGTTCAATCCCCCACTCTCTCTCCCTCTGTTCCCTCTAGAAGACCATGAAATCCTCCTAGGCTCACCTCCATTGTTAAACCCTCCATCCATTTCAGTATAAACCACAGGAAGCTCCCTCTCAGCACCTCTTCTCCCACCGGAAAATCTCCCAACAGCAAACCCTCCACCGGGCAACCTCCAAATCGTCAACCCCACATTCTCTTCCTCGTTCAAGCCAACATTTTGTGGTGGATTTGAATTTGCATTTGAATTTGCGTTTGAGGAATCCGCAGGTAACTCGTGGCGACAAACAGGACAAGAATTGTGGAGAGCGAGCCATGGTAAGATGCATTCAGGGTGATATATATGCTTACACGGCATTTCCCTCACCGCGGTACCTAATTCAAAAGCTTCTTTGCACACCGCACAGTGTGATTCCATGGCTAAGTGAGTGTTATCAATTTCGATGGTTGGTAAGGAATCTATGGCTGCTTTTGACGCAGGAGGGTGCTCATACCTTCCAATACCGTTGATCTCAATCTGANGTAACTCGTGGCGACAAACAGGACAAGAATTGTGGAGAGCGAGCCATGGTAAGATGCATTCAGGGTGATATATATGCTTACACGGCATTTCCCTCACCGCGGTACCTAATTCAAAAGCTTCTTTGCACACCGCACAGTGTGATTCCATGGCTAAGTGAGTGTTATCAATTTCGATGGTTGGTAAGGAATCTATGGCTGCTTTTGACGCAGGAGGGTGCTCATACCTTCCAATACCGTTGATCTCAATCTGAGACAGTTGCTCCAGAAGCCTATCGAATCCAGATCCGAGTAGAAACTCTGACATGCTCGGAGGCAAGGGTCTCAGGCCAGAACCGGCACCATCGTCGTAGAAGAGCTCAAAGCCTCGACTTTCCTCCTCGCTGGTAGCGGAGGTGGCAGCTGCGCTGCCGCGGAGGACGATAACGGGGTTGAAGGGGGAGCGGTCACCACCGTTGCGGCGGGTGCGGCGCAGGAAGGGACGGGCAGCGTTGTCGGAGGCAGGGCGCTGGCCGATCATGTACATGGCGGCAGCAGGGAAGCGACGACGGCGAGGGTCGAGGTGGACTGAGCGCGGCGGGTGTTCGATTTCTTCGATGAATCCGCCGTCGCAGTCGGGACAGACCACGGCATCCTGGCGAAAAACGCGGACGAATCGGCTGCACCGGTAGCACCAGTACGAGGATGTCCCAGAAGACATCATCGTGAAGTAGATCTCGAAGGAACCGACGGATCCGCAAACAGGATTCAAATTTTTTGACCAGATTCTCGTGGAAAAACACCTATAAGAAAAGGAAGAAAAGGAGGGCAAAACAAAGATAAGATGAAAGGAGTTAAAGACTGTGAGGGATGGTTCATGTGTCTATGTGGGAGTTTCCATGGAAGAGAGAGAGGGAGGCAGGGAGCGACGGCAAGGTCATGTGTCGCGTGGAACAAAGATAACAGCGAAACCGCGTAGTCATGTCTTAGCGTGTCACCAACCACGTGGCCGATTGTGGTTGGATGCAACCCAAACGGCACCGTCTTGATGATGAAACCTTGTTAATAAGCTGAATGAGCCGTTTTGGGACTTTGTTTTCAACTTTACTCTTTCTTTCTCTGTCTTAACGTGGACACATTCTAATCATTCCTTTCCATCCTTAAAAAAATACTACACACTTTTCTGTTCTAATCAACTTAACATATCTAGATTTTCTTCCTTTCTTCTATATTTCTATAATATACAGATTTTGTTATTATGTTTTACTTTAATTTAATTAATTGATTACTCGTTCAATACATGCTTATCTTTTACATTTTAGATAAGAAGTAAATACTTAGTTATTTTTAGGAAAGTCAAATACAAATCTTTTGTTTGTGGCTGTGTAATGGATGATAGTTACAAAGGACAAAAAATATCTTACTTAAATATCAATCTATGACATTATTACTAAATATTTTTAAATTAATTTGATGGGCTAATCTTATTGCTTAAGTCACTTATTAAACTTAATGTTATGTTATTGCAAATAAACATAAATCATCACTTGAATAATCAATTAGATGTTAAAATATTACATCTAGAAAACAGCGACGCGATATCTTATATACATAAAATATTTCTTCGAACATAAATTATATATTATTTTGTGTTATATATTTTAAATATTCTTTATAAATAACTTGAGACAGATATATTTTTATATCAAAATGGTATAAGAAAACATCCATATAATTTATAGCTTCGAGAGGATAAACAGATGTTATTTCTCTTATTTTATTATTAAATTAATTCGCTAAATTATGTAAAAAATATAGCATACATTAAAAGAACTCAACAATTTATGAGTAAAAGTCAATTAAGCCAAAATAATTTAATAGTTTTTAAATATATTCTCTTCCTAAAAGAAATATTTCATCGCATTGTTAACATTCCCTTAAAATTTTCCTCTCCTCTCTTTGATTGTTGGGATATTTTTTTTGTTTTGTTTTTTTGTCTACAAATAGGAAAAATATTATGTCATTTTCAAATGTGGTGGGGTAGGGGCATTGTTTTTCAAAGGAGCGTTATGGCGTGCATTTTCTCCTTTCCATCTTTTAACGCCGTGTTTGGTTGGTTGATTGTTTCTGTTCAGATTTTAAAACAAAAATATATAAACATGAAAAGAAGATTGAAATAAAGGTGTAGGTTCTATTGTGATAAGTAATAATAATTGAAAATCCGTAAAAAAAAAGTGATAATAATTGAGTTTGAATTGGTAGTCTTAAATGACCACATTAATAAATAAATGAAGAATGGATTGTAGTGCCACACGCTGGCCTTAATAAACGCTCAGAGAATCTTTTAATACAGGTTTTGGTAATGAATGTTGCTCGTACATATTCAAAATCCCATAAATTAATATTGGACTGTATATTATATACTGCCAAATGAACAGCTAAACAATTAATTTTACTTTAAAAGTTCAAAATAAATAAATACAGACAAAAAACATTAAGATATTTAATATATTCACTAATAGGCAGTCTTGTTATATAATGGTGTATATAAAAATCTTTCATATGAATACTATTAAATAATAGAATATCTTTATTTCCTAATAATAATTCTTAACTTAAAATCATAAAAAATAGTAGTAATTTAAAAATAATGAGAATACATTATTTTAATATTAAATTTTTTTAATATAAATAATTTTGTTATGAATAGTTATATTTTAAAATATATATTTTTTAAAATTACTTGATTTTTTAAATTTTTTTTGGAGTTTTTGTTCTCTGTTCGTTTGTTTAAAGATCAAATATTGCCTAAATGATTCTCGCTGCAAGATCTTCAAGTTTAACTTATCAGTTTTTCGGATAGAGTAAATTGATTTTATACTTCTTTTTTTGTCAATTTCGTTTTTCTTATATGCTAGCTTTCTTTGTTTTGCATGTGAAGTTTAAGTCTTCTATAAGACTCTTTGTTGATTAGTGGTCCTAATGGTGTACCATGTTCATATTTTTGTGGTTCGTAAGAGTCTGTTTTGTGTCAATTAAGACTTGTTTAGCTTTTAGTTTAATAAAATCTGATTTTTTTTAATGAAATATAAGGTATAAGTTTTTGGGTTGTAGGTTTGATATGATAAACCTTATTCTTGACCAAATAAACAAATTGGCATTCAATGTGAGTTATAAACATGTTTTGAATCATATATAGTGTCAAAAATACCATTTTGATCATTTAGATAGGTTTTGAGTGCATTTAGATCAGGTTTAGAAGTTGTTTTCATTTGGTATAGTGTTGAGCAACCCTGTGTGGTGCTAAACATAGCAAAACCCAGGAGCCACTGGGCTTTAGGACGTTGAGCGCCACCTTGGGTATTGAGCGCCACAAAGTTAGGGATCTCTCTGACTTTTTGGCACTAAGCAGTGAACTAGTGTTTTGAGCGTCACTTCTCTACTACATATCTGAGCTTTTAGTTTTCTTAATTCGCTAGGCGAGTGACTTACTCGCTAAACGACAGTCTAGTATGAGATATCTACTTTGTGTTTTCTTTTAAGCTTTTTATACTTTAAAAAGTTGTTTTTATTTAGATTGTTTTACACATATTAATCAAATGAGGGTGAATATTATATATGTTGATGATTGATGAATATGGGATTGTATGATGTTACTTTAATTATGATATGAAGGTGACAATGAATTATGGTTGTTGGTATAATATTAATTTTGGCGTAATTCTATGGAACTCATTAGATTATATGGTGACGTTCATTAATGTGATGTATTGATGCAAAGACTCAATATTGAAAGTTATCCTAACGCTTCAATAATCATTCAATCTCAAGTAAATAACGATGATTGTGTGTTGAGAAGCAGCAGGAGATCCTAATCTATAGTTTAATTCTTTAACTATAGGTGGTAGACAGACTAGCCTTGTGTGGTAGCTTGGGTCGGCCAAATGTTCCACCACTACAAGAGCAAAAACTTATCATAGTTTGACATCACTAGATGGTCAAGTCTAAGTGTTATGAGTATGTGTATATTTTCGGTTAATTTGATGACGTAACTAAAATACATGGTTGTATGCCTTATGATCGATTTATATAACTTGTATATATGTTAACTTTTGTATTTTATTGTATGAAGAATCTTTTTGTATGCTAACTTACCCTTTATTCTATGTGTTTGTTTGTTTTGTTTCTTTTTATTTATGGTCACCTTAATGGTAGGAGCAAAGAAGGATGTTTATGGTGAGCTGATGCTAGGAGGAGATGGAATGAGGTGTAAAATAAGACCTTTGGTTTCAATTTCATTTGTTTTTGAAAGATCTTATTACACTTTTGGTTCAATGTAATATTTCTTAGTAGCCAATATATTGTGTATATTTTACTATTATAAATTATATTTGGATATCTATAATAACATTTTATATACTTTCTTTAAGTTAACTATTTGTATTATTGAAGATGTGATGAATCCTATGATAATGAAATACTATGAAAATTAGGATGCTACATTTTGGTATATTATATACTTTCTTTGAATTAACTTAACTACTCCTTTTCTTTTGTCAACCATGAACATCTAAATCTTTCTATTTATTTTAATAACACAATTACAACATTATCTTCATATTCATTCAATTGCAAAACCTATATACTTTCTTTGAATTAACTTAACTACTCCTTTTCTTTTGTCAACCATGAACATCTAAATCTTTCTATTTATTTTAATAACACAATTACAACATTATCTTCATATTCATTCAATTGCAAAACCTATATATAACACATTTTTATGTGATTTAAGAGTAGTTATATTTTACAGTTGGATAAAAAAATTGGAATACAAAACATTGACAATTCATCCTTGCATAAAGTTTCACTTCACATAAACCATTTTATTTGTTTTGCAAAATGATGCCATAATTTGGAGTTTGAAAAATTTTTATATTTTATATTGGCTAAAAATGAAACGAAATTAATATATATATATATATATATATATATATATATATATATATAAAAGTAGGTAAACTTTCTTTATAAGCCAAGTTTACAAGGTTTAATTAAGCTTAAAGTTGATTTCTTAACATAGTATATGAGTCACGGGTTAGAGTCTATCTTAACGAAGTTTATTGTTCGATGAGTCTATTCTTCAGTCTGCTATCAAATCACTTATTAATGCTATGTACTACATTCGATATGTATATACCTTGGTGTGAGAAATATGTGTCAGAAGTAGGGATGAGCAAAGTACACTATACTGCATTGTATTATAAAAAATTATAGTTAACTATAAACCGTTCAGAAAAACTGCACTGAACTAAAAAATAGTCAGAGTAGCTGAACTGAACTATTTTCTAGTTCAATTATATTGGAGTACATTTCAGTTAACTAGTTTTTAGTTCACTATAATGCAGTTCAATTAACTACAGTCCAGGTTCAATTACCTCATGACAACACATCAACACTAAACTCTTCCCAAAGACATAAACCAAAAAACTGCAGAAGAAAATAGAGCATGATAAAGTAAAATTCCGAGAATTAATTAATATACGCCACAATAATATTAATTTGGTAGAAACAAAGCATAATAAAATAATTCATCCACACAAATATCATCTCATCTACGTGAACTCAGAATTCTCTGCTTTAGGCAAACTCATCAACCAAACACCTTTTCCACCAAAACCCGATTGATGACACATACAGAATAAAACTAGGGTCATGGTATGCAACGTCGCATTGAGCTAGGGCAGCTAGGGCAACATTTTAGGAATAATTGGAAATGAGGGAATAATGGAAAAACCACAGTTCTGAGACAATTAACTGAAAAATGAGATAAGTTCAGTTTTTCAAAACTGAACTAGAAAATAGTTTATTTAAGTTTTTGTAAAAATGGATTAGTTTTTTTCAGTATAATATAATATAGTTCAGATTAGTTATTTTTGTCCATTCCTAGTTATAAGTCCTATATTAACTAGTGATAAGAAGAATTTATAATACATAAGTATATGCAAACCTTGTTCATATTACTCATTAAATCTAATTAATATCTAATCACATTCGATAGTTATATATATAACTCGCCATGTTTACTATCCCATTATTCATTAATATCTAATAACGTATTAACTCGATATGATAAAAATTATTAGAAATCTCATATGAAATAGCGTATTACAAAACTTAAATTTGGTTTAAAATCTAATTTTTACAGTAACAAAATTGAAAAACCTCTCAGGATATAATAATTGAAGCTAACTTCATTGTTTTCTAATTTTCAACTGGGTTAATAAATGCATGTAGACTTGACCACTACATGTTTTGTGACCCACAGTTTGTTTACTTCACAAGGGAGAATTTGGTTGGTGTTTTCAAGTTGGAAATAATTCGAATACTAAGTGGGCAATTACCATGTACAACTCCGACAAGAAAGGAAGCCAGCCAGATTTGTATTTGCTGGAACACATATCTGATAACAATGAAACCATTTAAATTTTCACAGTAAATTTTCATATTGATTAGATATAGATATAAACATGAGTAATATTTTTTTAAAAATATTTTTAATTTCTTACTTAATTTAAAAAATTTATATACTTTATTCGATTTTTAACTTTTTAATGTACTTAGAATACGTGTTTGATTATTTTTATTTTTATTTAACACTTATTTAATTATCATTTAATATTTTTAATTTATATTTATATAATTATAATTTTTGTATTAGTATTTAATATTAAAAATTCGTATTATTTTGACATTGAATATTTGATTTTATTATATTTTTGTATTGTAACTTTTATTTTTTGATAAGAAATATTTAATTAATATTTTGGATAATAAATAGATAAATAAGGAGGAGTATATATGTTTTTAATAAAAATGGGACGAAACAAAAATTTTACACTCATTAAATAGAAATAAGGTCTGATTTAACTCATTGATTTGAGTTTGTTTGCTAACTCAATTTTTTACTGATAAAATTATAATTACCAAATTTAATGTTTGTTTGAGGTGTTGCTATTTTGCTTGTTTAATTCATGGCTCTTGATTATCGTTACAATGGACACCGCATTTTTATTTTATTCTTTGGGTATTATATTATGTTATTTTACAAATCAAATGGGAACTTACTATATATTAATACTATAGTTAAAATAATAAAGTTTGATGTATCACTTTTATTTTATTATTATACTTTTTGTTATAGCATTGAAAAATAGCATACAAATCTCTATAACCTTGCTTGTTGGGCTTTACCGTCATTTCGTACTTCTCAAGGCTTTTGTAGAAAATAATATGGAAAAGAAAATCTATTATCATGCTTTTATATTCATTTAAAAAAAAACAAATGAATTTTGTTTTATTTCAGACTATATTTGATTTTTATTTGTTATAATTTAAGATAAATTGAAAAGACCAGGGAGTAAAATCCCAGTATCCAATAAATTCTTCATCGTCATCTCTCCATTATAAAAGTTAAAAAATTGCTGAAACAATCTCAAAATTTCCTAATTTTTACATGATTCTTTACCTCATGCAATTATGTAACAATGCTTAACCTATTTATTTATTTTTGGAACAAGCTTTTCCACATAATAATGAGCAGTTTTAATTTTAAAAATAATTCAAGGGTAGCACTAGGTTTTTATTATTGAAAAACCAGTGAAAATACATCACATAATAACATTATTTTCATTGTTATTATTATAATTATAAAATTAAATATAAATAATTTTTATAATTTTAGTGTTAATATTTTTATGTTTTATAGGAAGTTTTTTAATTAAAAAATAGTTAAGTTTTTTAAAAAGGTTAAATAAAAAATAATTAAAATTTAAATACACAGTCATTTAAACATAATAATGCGTAGAGTAATTATTTTAATTTTTTTTAAAGAATAAAATTAAAAATAATCGTGGATATCAAAGATAAATCTCCTCCATTCATGTATAAGTATGGATTAAGAATCTTCATTTCTCAATCTTATAACGACTGAGCTAATATTATTTATGAATTTTAGAATTATATATATATATATATATATATATATACACACACACACACATTTTTTATAAAATTATAGATTTTCGTTTTTATTTCTATTTTTTTAACAATTCTATAGATTTTTCAATATCACAAACGGGTTATTATTATTAAAAGAATTAAAAATCCCTTAATAACTTTTAATCTTTAGTAACATGATATTTTACTTATTAAAACATTTAAAATGACAATAAACTAAGTATTATTAATAAATGTAATACATATTTTAAAAACTATATAAACATTTTTGGGGATATTTTATTTACTTTATAACTTATTCATTTTTAAGATTCACAATTTTTAAGATTTAAATTTCCTAGAATGTAAAAAATTTATTGGTTACTAATCTTCCCATAACAACACTTACGAGAAGGATGACTACATTTTAAAAAAAATTCATCAGATTTTCGAATAAGAAGAATTAGGACGAAAAATTTAGAATATGTAAACTGTGTTAAAACAACTACATTTTTATTATAATTCCACTTAAAGAGCGAAACATGGTATAAAACATCTTCAATTTTGCTTCTATGTGGTCTCTATTTAAAAAATTTGCGTCAGTGAGCATTTTTTAGTTTAGTTCACTGACTCATAATTGTCCAGTCTATGGAGGAACTAAATTCTTGTTTCTTCAACCCTTCAATTTTGGATTCCCTATCTGAGGATTCTCTTCACGAAATCATCGGCAGCTACAATGGCTTCTGCGACGCGACGCAATCCCTTCTCACCGGGAACGGCGATCTCTCCGTCGCTCCCGACTTCGTTTCTCACGTTCACGCCCTCTGCAAACACCGTCTCCATTCCCTCGTTCAAGACCACTTTCTTCGAGTCCTCGAGGTACCCAACAATTTATTTCACCGACAGTGGTCCAAAGTTTGAAAATTTATCGACTATTTTGGTTGCAGGAGACTTTTGAACGAAATGGGGCATCAAGATTTTGGCGCCATTTTGATCCCTACTCTCATGTTGCGGGTTTGAACAAGAATGACGATCTTGATGTTAGTGTGTTTTTATCCTTACTTCACTTCTTTCTTTCTTTTTCTTTTTTCGTTGTGGTTGGTGTTTACTTCTGCTTTATGAATTGTTGAAACAGATTGACGAGGATGAAATTCAGAGTGTGTTGTATAATGCTTTGGAAGAGGTTACTCTGGAGAAACAGTATCAGGAGAAGTGTCTTTTGATGTTGGTGCATGGTTTGCAATCTTACCAGGACCAGATGTTAGAGGATAAACATGATTTTGAAGGAGAAAGAAGTTACCTTACTTCTAAGTATCAATGGATTGTCTCTTCTGTTCTTATGGCCACACTTCCTCGGCATTTCCCTGGTTTGTTTGCAGTTTGTTACTTTTTAATAGGTTAACGAGGGTTTGTTTAAGTAAACTGATTGCTTTGATTATGAATGCTTTTTTACTAATCTCGTGGTTTTCGCCATATGTATTCTTTAACATCAAAGTTTGATATGATTAGCACTAATATACTGGTTTACATAGGTTAGTTCCTAATGCAATATTTTATAGCTCTTGATCTATGTGGTTTGGATCTTTTAAAGTAACTGAGTATGATTAAATAAGTAATCTCTGTCATTGATAAAAAAAATAATGGCCGATGTTCCAAATACATCCATGATTTGTTAAATTTCTTCATGTAATATTTACCCGCCAACGATTGAAATTTGTTACTTTACCTTGTAAAAGTGAGCGAGTTACTCACTTTAGAGAAGCCACGTCCTTTTTTTGATGTTTGTCAGAACATTTAAGTTGCTTGAAAGCTCTGCTTATTAAAAATACAGTTACTGTGTTTCCTCTTCGTATCATTTTCTCCTATTTGATATTTTTTAAGGAGCTTACTGCTTTCATTCCTTTTTGCCTTGTATGTTTTTTTCCTGTTTGCAACTTTTAGTTATACTGCATTGGTATTTTAAAAGAAAACTGGAGGAGTTAAGTACGATCATGGATGAAGAGTTTTGTGATGATGCATCTCAAAATAAGGATGGCATGGATTTAGATGAAAAAGGAAAAGTATGCAACAAGGTTGGTGAAATGGATGTTGATGAGTGCTATAACGACCATAGGTTCTCGGAAAACAGTAGACTGGTGAAGAACATTGGAAAGGTTGTTCTTGATCTTAGAAATCTTGGATTTACTTCCATGGCGGAGGATGCTTATGCTTCTGCTATATTTTTACTACTGAAGGTGAGGATGTTTCTGAAATTCAAAGTCCTGGCTTTTCCAGCTTTCCTGAATCTCATTTTACCAATTTGGCTCTCACCATTTTGTTTCACTTATGTATCCCTTTGTAAACCTAATCTTTGGATGGCATTTGGCTTTCTCCTGTCTGAATGGCAGGCAAAAGTAAATGATGTAGCTGGTGATGATTATCGGAGTTCTGTTTTACAATCTATTAAAAGCTGGATACAGGTTTGTTGTGCATATAGAATTCCATCCTAATTATGCTATAATTTTGAATTGTTATTTTATATTATACATTGACACATAATTTTGACTCTAATTACATTATAAATGTGAATTTTTGCATCAGATAGTAATAATTAATGTTGTTGTACATTTTAGATGTTGGGAATTGATAAAAGAGACTGGTCAAAGGATGACCAACCAGCAAAAAAATTTCCTATATCCAGTCTTGTCAAAATTTTATGCCACATACAAGTTTCACTCCACTTATTTTCTTGATAGCATTTTTTTCTTTATTAGACGTGTTGCATCTCAATTCTTACATAACCATGATTTCTTTCCTCATGATATATACTAAATTCTTTACATATATACCATACATGATATATACTAAACTCATTACATATACCATATCTATACATTCAATTAAATAAGATTTTATTATGATGCTTTGCTTTGGCCAATCATTTGTTTTCACAACAACCTAATTTACCCGCTTTACTAAAATATCAATGTTCATATGCATTTAAGTCTAGTAGATAAAAAGTATCTGCATAGTGCATACGAGTTCCAAACTCATTAATGGAATAACTTATTTTGAGACCCTATTTATATATTTCTGAAAGTTTGACTGTCACTGTACTTTATATAAAATATACTTTCTACCCATAGTAGCCAATTTAGGAAAAATGTACCCTCAATTCTAACACGGTATGCTGATAATTGGTATCATCCAGGCTGTTCCTCTCCAATTTCTGCACGCACTTCTTGTCTATCTTGGTGATGTAGTTAGTTATGAGAGTACTTCATCAGGTTTGAAATCACCTTTGGCACCACAACCATCTTCATGCTGTCCTGGAATTAATACTCCCTCTGAAGGGCTAGTGAGATGGAAGTTGCGGCTGGAATATTTTGCATATGAAACACTGCAAGATTTAAGAATAGCTAAATTATTTGAGATAATTGTTGATTATCCTGAGAGGTACCTTATTTATAGTTCTCTTTATTTCTTCTGGGATATCTATTAGAAAATTAATTGTCCTATTTCTTTTTTTTTAACAAATTGAATGGCTAGATCACACCGTTGCCTAAAATATATTTGTGGTTATAGCTTCGAGTCATAACAGAGAGATTGACAATTGTTCTAGGATTTAACATTTTCTTTCAGAAATGAAGTTGTTTCTGTTTATCACAACAATGAATCTAGAATTTAGATTATCAACTCTTTCTTCTTGCAGTTCCATGCTTGCCTTGGTTTTGAATAACTTTCAAGCTCCAACATTTCAAGCTCCAACATTTCGCACTTGTGCCATTTGGCTTGTCTTAACTAATTCATTCTTTGCTGGATTGTGGCTTGTTTGTTCATGTCTTCTGATAATTTATTTTCTTTCTCTCTACTAATTTTTGAAGCTCTCCTGCAATTGAAGACTTAAAATTGTGTCTTGAATACACTGGACAACATTCAAAGCTGGTGGAATCATTTATTTCAGCACTGCGATATCGCTTGCTTACTGCAGGTGCATCAACCAATGATATATTACACCAATATGTTTCAACAATTAAAGCACTTAGGACAATAGATCCTGCAGGTGTTTTCCTTGAGGCAGTTGGTGAACCCATAAGGGATTATTTAAGAGGAAGGAGGGATACCATAAAGTGCATAGTAACAATGCTGACAGATGGAACTGGTGGAAATTCAAGTTCCTCTGCGAATCCTGGAGATAGCCTTCTTGAAGAGTTGAACAGAGATGAAGAAATTCAAGAGAATGCTGGTGTTGATGATGATTTCAACAGTGATGATAGGCAAGCATGGATCAATGCCATGCGGTATATCTGTGTTCTGGATGATGATCAGTTGTATTTAATTATTTTTATGCCTGCCATATTATAAAATGACCTTTCTTTTAATTGCCTTTTCCAAGCAGATGGCAACCTGACCCTGTGGAAGCAGATCCATTAAAGGGAAGCAGAAACCAAAGGAAGGTTGATATACTTGGGATGATTGTTGGCATAATTGGTTCAAAAGATCAATTAGTTCATGAATATCGAACTATGCTTGCTGAAAAACTTCTAAATAAGTCAGATTATGATATTGATTCAGAGATACGTACTCTAGAACTCCTGAAGGTATTTATTCAAATAAAAACTCATGAAACCTGGGTGTTTGGTAGGTGTGGAGTTAATATTATATATTATTTTGTGTGTATTCATTCATGTTTTGTATTGCTATCTAAATATTTATTAATGCCTTTTGTTTTTGCAGATACACTTTGGAGAGAGCAGCCTACAGAAATGTGAGATTATGCTCAATGACCTAATTGGCTCAAAACGAACCAACAGTAACATTAAAGCTACCATAAGTCAGCTACCTCAGACAAGTAATTTCCAAGTTCATATTTCCCATGTTTGTGATTATTGCCAGCAACAATTTTAACTATTATTTATCTTTAATTCTGTTTCACAAACGAATTGGCGATGCTCCCTCAGGTGTTGAAGTGGGAGACAGTGCAATAATATCCATGGATGTAACTTCTGCCACTATCATATCTTCTAATTTCTGGCCTCCAATACAGGTTTGTGTTCACAATTATTTTATTGATTCTTTTGAATTTTAGTTAATGAGCAGATAAATTATTTATGTATGTCATCACACGACATCTATTCCTCAATAAGATTGTGTATTATATTTAGGCTCAGCAATAAGGCTTTTTTCTCTGAAGAAAGTGCCAAAACTTATTGTTCAATACAATTATTATTATTTTTTTACTATATATGTACTCTTCACTTTCTACGGGTACATTCATTATTTCTTTCAATTAATTTCATTTTAAGGATCACTTCTGCTTGAGATGCAGGAATTATGTTGGTCCCTTTGTTCCATAATGCCTTAACTTGTAAATCAAATCAGTTTTTTACATAGTTTATCCTCATCTTATCTTAAGCAAATAAAAAATGATCAAACATTCCTTTTTCTGATCCCACCTTTCCTGCTATTGTCACTGTTTTTCATTGTTGTCATCATTATGCTGAGGCAAATTTATATTCTCCAAACGAAAATGTACTACTCACTTATGTAACAATTTTTTGAAGCAAATATATGACTTTTTCTCTAAAAAGGTAAATCAGAAAATAAAGGCACATAAATAAAATCAGGTTTTTTAGTGTTGATTTTCAAGCAGTTAACAATTTCAAATTTGTGATATAACTTTTCAGTTCTCTCGTCTAGAAAGTTCAGGTAACTTTGCCTATGATTTTTTGTTTTATTGAGTTGTGTTAAGGTTGAAACGTAAACCAAGCACACTATGATAATATAATCTACCTGCTGATAAATGAAACATAATCTAGCCTTTCTCAACATAAAAGGAAAAGACAATCTAGATTTTTTTAATGATTTCATTGCTATACTGCAAAACTGCGTCTGTACTATTTTAACTTTGAGGAGATTTACAGGATGAGCCACTTAACCTGCCTGAACCTGTTGACCGTCTCCTATCTGATTATGCAAAGAGATTTAGTGAAATCAAAACTCCTCGTAAGCTTCAGTGGAAAAAAAGTCTTGGAACCATCAAGGTTAGTTGCTCTATATTTACTGTCTGTGGATATTTGGTACAGTTTTTGAACTTGATGAATAATGATGCCCCTTTCTCACCTTTTACTATTTGCTCCAAATATTACCATTTTCTATGGTTCAGCTGGAGTTGCAGTTTCAAGATAGGGAAATGCAGTTCACAGTAGCCCCTGTTCACGCATCTATCATTATGAAATTTCAAGATCAACCAAGGTATCCTTAGCAATCTTTGCATACCTTTAGTCTGTTGTGTAGTAGTAATATTATATTGTATTTCTTTTTTCAGTTGGACGGCTAAAAACCTTGCAGCTGCTATTGGGATACCCGCAGATGCTTTAAATCGGAGAATAAATTTCTGGATAAGCAAGGTGGGTCTGGTGGACCACTTCTGCAAATTTTCTTGTTCTTCTTTTTGGTATCACTACTTTGCAGCCTGATTATATTTATTTTGTGCGGACGAATATTATCTCTTTTGAGTTAACTAACTTCTTTTTGGTATCACACTTTTTACTTTAACACTGAAGTTCATTTACATATGATGATTAAAGTTTTTCGATGACATGACTTGCTGGTCAAATGTGAACAATTTAACAGCTGTGAATTTTCTCTTTTAAAACCATGAAGTCTGAAGTTTAGTAGTGAAGTTGAAACTAAATACTCTTGCTTCTTTTTTGTACCCAGGGGATCATTACAGAGTCGCAAGGGGAAGATTCCTCTGACCATGTATACAACATTGTGGAAAACATGGCTGAGACAAGTAAGAATGGAGCCAGTGCTGGTACTCAAGATCTTCTAGGAGGTGACGAGGAGGAGGACAGATCTGTGGCTTCTGTAGAAAATCAACTTCTTAAGGAAATGACTGTATATGAGGTAAGTGGGATAAAGTGATGGTCAGTTGAGAGTTATGACTTACACTTTAATTTAACTATCCAATATTTAGAAAATTGACTGCCTAGACTTGAGAATCTTTGCAATGTATGCTGTTTAAATTTTAATCTTAGATGGTTAATATATGTTTAAACCGATCTTTTACAACAAATAGGCCTTCATCAATATGAGGGCAGGGAAAATATTTAATGAAGAAACGCTCTAGAGAATGGATTTTCCTTGAATAAATAAATACAGTTCTTCTTCATCATCAGCTTGTTATTCCTAGTTTTGCCAATATGAAAAAATACTTTTTGGCCAAAGACGGCTTCTGGGGTGCACATGTCTTTTCATTTATTCATCTCGAGACATTTAAACACAAAGGGTGTGCAATGCATAGATTAAAAGATATCTAACTGATGAAGCTTCTTTGCAGAAATTTATCATGGGGATGCTCACAAACTTTGGTAGCATGGCATTAGATCGCATTCACAATACTCTCAAGGTAATAATGGTTTTAACTTATAACTCCTGATAAAAAGAACAGTTTTACGCCTATATAAGTATTTGCATCTGTGATCAGATAGATTTAATTACATGATTGTATTGCAGATGTTTTGCATTGCTGATCCCCCATATGACAAATCACTCCAGCAACTACAAAGCTTTTTATCTGGTCTGGTTTCTGAGGAGAAGTTAGAACTTCGGGATGGAATGTACTTTCTAAAGAAGTAGTTTGATTAAAGAGTTGAAATGAAATGCCTTTGGTCACGAGCAAAAGGGTAAAATCTCTGCATGTGTTTCCATACATAATGTTCATGAATAACTTTATATTTGGAATTTACTGAACCGACAGCTTCAGCTCCATTCTTGGTGGCATCTTTGTGTTTGTCCTGAGGAAACTGCATCCTTTTGGCTAGTCATTTGTGTCAGTTTTATTTTGGTTATGCAATGGTAGTACCAATCTGAAGCATTCATCAAGTTGTTGGGATAACACTATCCAAGATATGCTAGATAATGCAAATTCAAGTACACCAATATCATCTTTGCCCCAGGAGATGTGGATTTGAAGACGTTATTAGCTTTCAACATATGCTACTCCTTGGTTTGTGAACCTTTTCCAAAAGCTTCCACCTTTGCGATTATCATCTATTCTGAACGAGTCACCTTCCGGTATGTAAATTTGTAGTATTTAGTGCTAATTTAAGTTTAGATGATATTATGAATCGAATAGGAAACAATATTTTATAGTGTTTACATCAAATGTAAGTTAATTTGTTTGGTACTTTTTTCATAACTCATTAGATAATAGAGTAAACCTGAACAAAATTGTAAGATACTTAACGAAAAATCACATTAAATCAAGTAGATCATTACCATAACCACCTAGCTGAGTAAGTGTATGTCTGCTACCCCAAATTATTAATTAAAATCTTTTTAATAGAAAAAATGTAGTTGAGATCAAAGTTATCTGTTAGGGTTTTTTTTTTGACGAATATTTATATATTGTATAGATATATTATACCTTTAAACCTCGTATCTTATTTTAATTGTTGTCATTCTATTAACTCACCCAAGAGACATCAGTGTCACATTACCTTGACACAAACATGCTCAATCTTGAGCTTAGACGATAAAGTATCTTACGATTTTAGGGAACAATTCAGTTCGACTCTCATGTCTCAGAAACTTATGTGTCTGGTTTATATTTATTACAAAATGTATCCTAATCAATGCTCATTCTATTTTGTTTATTTTCAGATTTATAATTCCAGAAGTCTGTTTATTACATAATTTCAACACGCAATTATGAATGATTGCTAGAATTATGTTTTCGGAACTACGAAAGTAGACTTCTGAAATTTTATTCCAAAACGTTTGTAGCAAATGGACTTTGAAAACAAATTATGCAAATACTAGATGCATTTTTTAAATATCTATACATTATTTAAATTTTAAAAATAGTAATTAAAAGAGTAAAATTGAAAAAACAAAATGTGTACGTAGTTATAAATATAATTATAGATGAAATAAATTTTAGTCATTGAAATAAAAAAATATTATAAGTAACATATTGAAGTATTTTTGTTGAAGTTCAAATTTGTGACCCTTACACTATACAGAAACTTTACAATGATAGCATTAGTAACATATTTATTGAATATTGATGTCGATTACAAGGGGTAAATAGTTTCAGTCTGCTATAAACAACGAATAAAACATTCTTATTTCTTGAAATGTTTTTTTTACCAAGGTTCCAAGCTGGTTTTATTGCAGCGGAACTCACAGAAAATACGATACTTGGGATGGAAGCCTGCATACTTAAAAGGAATAAAATTATTACATGGTGAACTGCATTATGATTAATTTCGATAAATTACAAGATAGAAGAGAAATAATACTATTGATGTTTAATCGAAAAAGTAGAGACTGTGTATCATTTTAATTTATTTAAAAAATAATTTATATCTACATATAAAGAATTTATTTTTTTGTGTACACATTATTTGTATTACATATAAGAGGATTCGTTTTTTTTTTCTCAATTTTTTTATCTTTAAAATAACCATTATTTTAAACTAAAATAATTATATATATATATATATATATTAATCTAAATTTAATTATATTATAAATTAAAATTATTATTTTATTCTTTTGATAATTACTTTCTTAAATTTAAAAAAGTATTTACAATAAAAAACTATTTAATAATAACAAATCATGGAAATTATTTATTTTTAAGATTTAACAAGTTTTTGCCAGAATGAAAAAAAGGTAAATAGACATGATGCACTTGTTTTCATTAGGTGATTAGAAAAACATTTCCATAAGTAAAAAGAAAAAGAAAAATCTCGTAAAAGTTAACATGTATTATATAGTATGGCTAAAATAAACTTACATTTCATTTCATGTTGTTAAACTTGACATTCTGAGATGAAGAATGAAATCTCTTTTCCACCCATATTAATGTGTAAAAGTAATGAATGCAAAAGGCAAAAGAAAAGTCTGGAATCATAACAATAAAATATATATCTTAATTAAGCATACCTCTCTGCATCTATCATCCATGCATGTTTTCAGAGAACTAGTATTCTGGAATTGGAACATGTCCCGACTCTATTCTGCTTACATCTTCTAAAAGAATTGCGTAGTGTCTCTTCACTTCCTCCACTGATTTATCACCAACTTCTTTCGCTATATTATGCCACCGATCTGGTGTGTCTTCACCATACAAGACCAATGCCTTCTCAAATTGTTTGTTCTGCAGTCTTGTCCAAGAGGAATGACGTTGTTCTTTGTTGTTCATGTCAACGTGTGCTTTCATTCCATTTGAAAGTACACAATAAGAGAAATATTGATGTATATGTTTGCTACGATTGTTGCACTTATCCTTTATGGAGGGGAGTCAACATTTACGTAAGTTGTGGCTTGAGTATAGGGTCAGTCGTGGATAACCTTGAAGAAACAAATATAAATAGATTGAATGACTGACAGATATCAATTCTGTTAATATCCTTATCTGAATGACACCCAAAAAGATATGAATGAATCTCACTGGTTATTAATTGTTTTTAATTTACATCAGTGCTATTTTTAAGTATGATATAATCCATGCGTGGATGAATATTGTTTTCTAAGTAAATATTAATTAGAAAATTATAAATATATATGATTTAACAAAGGAGATGAGCTATAAGTTATATATTTCATGACTTTATATATGATATAATATAACAGATTAATAATCTGATAGATATAAATGAAACTTGAAAATTGCAAAACTAAGAGAAACAACAGTTTAGACTGAATGAAGAAGAAGAAGAAAAGAGTGAAAACAGCACAGAGAAATGATCAATGTGGAGGGCAAAATGTAATGACATAGCGAGGTGCCACACAAGTCTTGAGGACTGATGAATCATCAAAAGCATAACTATAAGCATTAGGGCAAACGGTCTTGAAGAGACGAGCAAACACAGTTGGCTTGCATCTTCCAGCAAACTCACCAGTGCAGCAATACCTATCTGACTTTGCTGCCAAACAAGCACTCTTGCACCCCACAACCTTCCCATTTCTCTCCACAACCAAAGCTGAAGGGCAATAAACGTTCAAGTTAGCTTCACAGCCAGCAACACCACAACCTGCACCACTACCACTCACTGGCTTCATTGACACTGGAAGGTTAAACCCATCAGCCAAACTAACATCATAGAAATGCAACGCTGATTTTGAGGTTCCAAGGGTCATTTCTACTAGGGTTGCTGGAGGGACTCCACCGATACCATTGCATTGCAATAGCCCTCCACAATCTCCTGTTTGACAATAACCTTTGCCTGTTTGTTGGTCGAAGTAACACCCTTGTCTGCCCCAGATTCTCCCTGACCAACCTTCAGGGACTTGGACAACAACCTCTTCGCCGCTTCCAAGATAAAACCCGCCATGTTTTGGTGAAGGGTGTCCTCCATTGCCGAGAATTGCGGGCCATACACTTTCTTTGCAGTTGTTCGCCACTATGAGTTCTGTTCCATCTGTTTCACATGACACCATAAATTATTCAGAGTAAAACTATTATAAGCATTAATACCACAAATGAAGACTACAAACATTTAACATTCAAGGGAATAGCTAATCATGAAGACAAAAAATGATGTGAAAAGCTTTATGCATGGATTGTGAGAGGGAAGAAAATCAGAACCTGTGTCGGAGATGGAGACTAGAATGCAGAAGAAAAGGAAGTAATGTGAGGAAGAAAGCATTGAGTTTAGGAAAGTGGAACCGTTTCTGCTCCTTCCTTGTTCAACTGTGTTGTGTTTCATTTCATGGTGCTGCTGAGAAGGAAAAAAAGCTATGTGGAGGTTCCTTGTTTTTAGCCATTTTCTAATCATGTTTGAAAACTGTTTCCCACCACTTTCACCTCTTATTCTCCCTTGAGAATTAATATTTGTTAAAGAAAAATTAAGCAGAGATTTTTAATTAGATGTGAAAAAGAAAATTATGTTAGTAGTTTATTTCCAGAAAACCATGAAGATAACTAAAATCTTTTTTTTTAAATACCGGTTAATCAAAATGACTACAATTGGATATTTATATTCTTTCTCATGCCAAAAATAATACATTTACTTAACTCAATGGATATATCTAACCTAATTCACTACTCAAATACATCTAAACTAGTTAGAATATGTATAAAGAAATTGAGAAAAATATCTTTTACTAATGTTATATATATATATATATATATATATATATATATATAAAAGTTTTAATGGAGAAAAAAATCTCCATTAAAAAAAAACATACTTTAAACCAAGAATATTTTAATAATTTTAATATTTAATTTAAAATAAAAAAATAAAAGTTAGTTATTTATACTTAATAACTATCTTTTATTTTTTATTTAAAAAAAAAACTTAAACCTTAAACTCTAAACCATAAACTCTAAATCCTAAACGCTAAACCCTAAACCCTACCTAAACCCTAAACTCTAAACATAAACCCTAACCCCTAAATCTTAAACTCTATCATCCATGATTGCTGTCATATAGTTATTTATCATCCATGATTGCTGGCATGTGTATTAATAGTAATTAATTTTTTTCAAAATAAAAAAATAAAAAGTAGTTATTAAGTCAATAACTAACTTTTATTAGATTTTTTTTCCATTAAAACTTGATATACTTTGCTAAAATGTATCAACTAAAAAAACCTTACGTAAATTAGCAAACCCCACGTGTGTGTATATATATATATATATATATATATATTTTTTTTTTAATTATCAACACAATTATTATTAGGTTCTTAAATGTTTATTCTGATTATCATTATTATTATTTATGTCTCATTATTAATGTAATTGCAATGTTTAATAATACTACATTATATAAATATACATATATTATGTAAATATACATATATGATAAAGAGTTTTTAACTAATTTATCTTGAAACTAGAAATTTGATTTAACTTTTTTTTTTAAACCAACAACTAAAATGATCGTGTTTTTGTTATTTTGTTATTGATTTAAACGTTTTTCCTTGAATTGGATTAGTTTATGGACATCTGCATGGTAAATTGTGCAGTTTTTATGTTATCTATCTTAAAAAAATATATTGATTTGTACTTAATGTAAGAGTAATTGCTTTTTCAAAAAAGATACTTAAAATTTAAACTCTAAAATAATATAAAAACAGGAGACAAGATTCCGGAGGAGAGGATCGGCACGAATATCGGTTTTCTCATTCTTTGTGGCAAAACAAACCGGTCCGGGTAGGTACCTTTTGCCGCCGAAACCGGATCTATTTCAAGCGAAGCCAACTCAACCGGATCCCTCTCTCTATGCCCTAACCGGTCTGTCCGGTCACATTTCCACGGTTCTTTTCTCTTCTCACTTTTGGAGTCGGTTCATTCTCTCTTCCTATTCCCCTCTTCTCCTCCAATAATTAAAAAAAAGCGATTCATCAAACCGGGTATGCATTTTTTTCCCACTATCTCTATTTGGTTCTTCAATTTCCGTTTATTTTTCATCTAAACCAGACCCAGAAGCGTTAAGGAATTGATTTTGAAAAGGATTGCATCTTCGTAACAATTTGGCTCTGTGGAAAGTAAACACCGATTTCGGTCATGAGAAAGTGGTTGTTTTTGTTGCATCACACTAATAGGGCTGTTATGTTATTATTAATCTCTGAAATGGTGGCTGTGATTATAGGGAAAAATGGGTTCGAATCTGGAACCGGTGCCAATTACATCCCAGAAACATGACCCGGCATGGAAACATGTTCAGATGTTTAAGAATGGGGACAAGGTGCAACTGAAGTGCATATATTGTCTGAAGATGTTCAAGGGTGGTGGGATTCATAGGATTAAGGAACACCTTGCTTGCCAGAAAGGGAATGCATCCACTTGCAGCCGTGTCCCCCATGATGTCAGGGTTCACATGCAGCAGAGTTTGGATGGGGTTGTGGTGAAGAAGAGGAGGAAGCAGAAGATCGAGGAGGAGATTATGAATGTTAATCCTTTGACCACTGTTGTGAACTCGCTTCCTAATAATAACCAGGTTGATGTCAATCAGGGGGTGCTTGCCATTGGAGTGGACCACAATTCAAGTTTTGTAGTGAATCCTGGAGAAGGAATGAGTAAGAATATGGAAAGGAGGAAGAAGATGAGAGCTAGTAAGAATCCTGCAGCAATTTATGCAAACTCGGAGGGTGTTGTTGCTGTGGAGAAGAACGGACTGTTTCCCAAAAGAGGGGACAATCACATTCATATGGCGATTGGTAGGTTTTTGTATGACATTGGTGCACCTTTTGATGCTGTGAACTCAGTCTATTTTCATGAAATGGTTGATGCAATTGCTTCAAGGGGTGCGGGTTTCGAACGGCCCTCGCATCATGAACTTCGGGGTTGGATCCTGAAGAACTCTGTGGAGGAAGTGAAGAATGATATAGATAGATGCAAGATGACTTGGGGGAGGACTGGCTGTTCCATTTTGGTTGATCAATGGACAACAGAATCTGGGAGAGAACTGATGAGCTTTTTGGCTTATTGTCCTGAAGGCATTGTCTTTTTGAAATCTTTGGATGCAACTGAGATTTCAACCTCTGCAGATTTTCTGTATGACATGATAAAACAAGTGGTAGATGAAGTTGGAGTCGGGCAAGTGCTGCAAGTGATTACGTCTGGTGAAGAACAATACGCTATTGCTGGTAGACGGCTGACAGACACCTTTCCCACCCTTTATTGGAGCCCTTCTGCTGCTCGTTGCATTGATTTCATTCTTGAAGATTTTGGAAACCTTGAGTGGATTAGTGCAGTGATTGAACAAGCTAAATCAGTAACAAGATTTGTGTACAATTACAGTGCAATTTTAGTTATGGTTAAAAGGTATACCTTAGGGAATGATATTGTGGATCCATCTTTTTCACAATTTGCAACAAACTTTTCCACATTGAAACGGATGGTTGATCTTAAACACAATTTACAGGCCTTGGTGACTTCTCAGGAGTGGGCAGACTGCCCATATTCGAAGAAATCAGCAGGGCTTGAAATGTTAGATTGCCTAAGCAGTCAAACATTTTGGTCCTCGTGTGACATGATTGTTCGTCTAACAACCCCTCTCTTAAAAGTTCTGAGAATAGCTAGTAGTGAGATGAGACCTGCAATGGGATACATTTATGCTGGAATGTACCGGGCAAAAGAAGCAATTAAAAAGGCACTTGGTAAGAGGGAGGAGTATATGGTGTACTGGAATATTATACATCATAGATGGGAAAGGCTGTGGCATCATCCTCTTCATTCTGCTGGATTCTACCTTAATCCAAAGTTCTTTTATAGTATTCAAGGAGATATACACAGTCAGATTGTCTCAGGAATGTTTGACTGCATAGAGAGATTGGTACCTGATACAAGAATCCAAGATAAAATTATCAAAGAGATAAACTTGTACAAGTCTGCTGCGGGGGACTTTGGGAGAAAGATGGCAGTTAGAGCAAGAGATAATCTGCTTCCTTGTAAGAGTAGTATACACATATGTTATATTATGATTCAACTTTTCTAAGTTTAAGTAACTTAATTGAAAAATGAATTAGAATCTATTCAAGTGTGAAAACAGTAGTAGTACAAGAACGCTGATGTCCAAACTGATAAGATGGAAGACAACAAAATTTAAATTTGTGTCAAGGCTTTATGCTTTGGCATGATGACCAATGCTGTAGAAGTTGAAGTTTGTCTGAAAGTTCTCCACAAACTACTTGTAGTTTAAGAAACACTGCCAGCGTAGTTCTTTTGAAATATTTCTCTGATGAAATGTTTCTGGAGTTTGACTGTTGGATTCTATTTGACTTATATGCTTGATAATTTAAATTTTCTGTACACAAGACTTAGATATGCTATTTTTCTAGCTGAATGGTGGTCAACATATGGAGGAGGCTGCCCAAACTTATCACGGTTAGCAATTCGTATTCTCAGCCAAACATCCAGTGTGATGTCCTGGAAGAGAAACCAGATTCCTTTTGAACAAATAGTCAACACAAGGAATTACATAGAGCGCCAACACCTTACCGATCTTGTCTTTGTTCACTGCAATTTACGATTAAGACAAATGTGAGCTTAAACTGTTGTACATTGAATATTGATAGTTTGTTTTAATGCAGTTGCCAATTGAAGAGAATTATTATTCTGTTTAACTTTTCTTTCAGGTTTGTGAGCAAAGACCATGATTTTAGTGACCCCTTATCATTTGACAGCATTAGTTCTGTTGATGAGTGGATTAGGCCAAGGGATTTATACACAGACGAGTATGGGAACTCAGATTGGATGGCACTGGATCCATCTTCAGTTAACACTATGCTTTTAAGGCCTTTAAATGATGAAGCTGAAGAATTGGGTGAAGGTAAACTACATGTGCTTAGGATCTGTTTGGACAAATCTCTCATTAAACACTTCTAGTAAAGTAAAATAAGAAGAAACAATTAAATCAACCTATCTGTGAGTTGTTTGTAGCTTATAAAGAATTTAACTTCATTTTGTTATTTTTATTTCCTAAAGT